TTCTCACGCTAGTTGGGCAGCACCTATAGTCGTTATCAAAAAGGCCAACTGCACGATACGTATATGTGCTGACTTCTCTACAGGTCTCAACGCAGCTCTAAAACAGCATCATTATCCTCTGCCAGTCCCAGCAGATCTGTTCACTATGCTGAATGGGGGAAAGTTCTTCGCAAAGCTTGACCTAGCTGATGCTTATTTGCAAGTGGAAGTAGATGAAGCATCAAAAGAGCTGCTTACTATCAATACCCACTACAACTATGACACTACAGCTCCTCACCAAAATTTTTTCTCGAAATGGCATTCCAGATACGATCTTATCTGACAAAGGCTTTCAATATACCTCCACACAATTCCGAACGTTCTGTCAGCTGTTATTAACACATTACGACCCATCCATGCCGATCATAGTAGCAGCAGACGCTTCAGTATATGGCCTAGGTGCTGTTATTTCACATCAGTTTCCAGGCGCGTCAGAAAAAGACGTTATGTATGCATCCCGTACACTAACCCCAGCAGAAAAGAAGTTTAGCCAGATAGAGAAAGAAGCTCTTGCTCTTGTGTTTGCTGTTCGCCGCTTCCATAAGTTTCTGTACGGTCGAAGATTCACGCTCCTCACAGATCACAAGCCTCTGTTAGCAGTCTTTGGTTCTAAATCTGGCATTCCAGCCCATTCTGCAAATCGTCTTCAGCGATGAGCCTTGGTACTTTTGGGGTATGATTTCGAAATCCAATATCGATGCACTCTACGATTCGGTCAAGCAGACGCTTTGTCTCGACTCATTAATGATCAAGTGGCGGCTGAGGAAAACATGGTGATCGCATCTCTGTCAGTAGAAGACCACGCAGAATGTTATCTGACAACCGCAGATCGCGAATTACCGGTGTCTGCAACAGACAACAAAATGCTTCTAGAAACGACCCCGTCATCAAGATGACAATGAAATATGTCACCGACGGTTGGCCGTCGAAAAAGTTTGAAGGTGACATGAAACAAGTGTATCAGCAGCAGGATTCACTATGCATCGTGAACGATTGTCTGACGTTTGGTGAAAGAGTAGCGGTGCCAGAATCCCTTCGTGCTGAGACAGTTCCATCTCGGTCATCCTGGGATTAAACGAATGAAGTCCATAGCCAGGAGTTATGCATACTGGTCTCACATGGATCATCATGTCACAGCGTTGGTTGAAAAATGCATGCGGTGTCAGCAGGCGGCAAAGATGAATGCCGAAATTCCACTGGTTTCATGGCCAAAACCTGAGCATCCTTGGTCCAGGATACATGTCGACTTCGCTGGTCCAATTAATGGAACTATGTATTTAATTGTCGTCGACGCCTTCTCAAAATGGCCAGAAATCAGCCCCGTTATGCCGCCCACTACAACTAAGACTATACAGCTCCTAACTGAAATTTTCTCACGAAATGGCATGCCAGATATGATCGTATCCGACAATGGCTCTCAATTCACCTCTTCCCATTTCCAGACTTTCTGTTAACGGCTAGCCATTGAACACTTACGCTCGCCACCATACCACCCGCAATCGAATTGGCAGGCGGAAAGGTTTGTGGATACGTTTGAAAGAGCACTGCTTAAGTCAAAATGAGAGGGGACGCAAGCCGAAGCGTCACAAAATTTCTTGTACGTCTATCGGACAACACCAAATGAATTGTTACCGGAGTAAAAGTCCCCAGCAGAAATCCTGATGGGAAGAAGATTGAAAACGATCCACAGACTGATGCATCCGACTAATGCACCCATATCAGTAGAGACAAGGCCGCAGAGACAATTCGCTTACGAAGTGGGATGCCCTGTGTTTGCCGGCGACTACAGAACGAACCATGGTCCTTGGGCAGAAGCGAGAGTGGTCAGAAGAGTTGGTCGAGTTATGTATAAAGTAGAGGTAGTAGGTGATAAATGGTCACGTCATCGAAATCAGATACGCAGACGGCTAGCCCCAGATCGCCCATCAAGACCAGGAAGCCTTCCCCTCGACATCTTGCTTGATACCTTCAACCTACCGAGAGCCCCGCCACGAGAAGAAACGTAGCAGCAAGCTGTTCTTCGTTCCCGGAGGTATCCTCTCAGACAGCGTCGAACGACAGTCAAGATGGAAGTCGACCCCAGGAGCACACGCTATTAAAAAGGGGAGGAGTGTTGGGGATGTTAGATCCCCAAAATTCGCTTGATAAATGCCTTATTTTGGTTTTTACGTTTGCGAGCATGGGCTGATCAGTTGACCTTGAGATTTCAATTTCCACCAGGAAAATCCATGGCTGTGATTGGCTGCTGTGTATTTTAGTGTGCTGTTTTCTTAACTGTCTCAAGGACATTTCCATGATGTATAAATAAACGAGAGTTGTATGCATGACTGTAGTGTGATTGCTGGGTGTTTGTAGAATATACTTTCTACTCTTACAAAGCCTTCTATTTCGATTTTGGGGATTCAAGGTAGCCTACCTGGACGCTGTTAATTGTCTCGTTCGCGTTTATCGACTAAGGTAAACTCGTTATAGCCTCAAGCATACTTAGTGACGAACCTAACAGGTTGACCATCAGCTGTAGTCTACCATTGGTAGGAATGACAGAGCCATTCGCAGCGCGTAGACGGAGCATCATAGGTTGAGACTTGCTGCTACCAAGTGGTACGACAGAAACTTGGGCATCTGTGTCAACGAGGTACCTAAAGCTATTGCAGATACCGTGCACGTAAAATAGGCGGCCAGCCTTGAGTTTGGGGCCGACGAGTACGGTCGCATTTACCCGTCGGCTTTGAAGTCTCCCGCCTCGTAAGAGAAGGGTGCTCGACAATGACGGGCGCCAGACCTAAAGGTCTGCTGCAACCAGCACCAACCAGTTCCCGCTTCCGAAGCCGCCTGTCGGCGTGGCTTGGAAGATGCCCGCTGCGGGCTAGCGCTTACAGCGTTACTTGATCGTGAGCGGGCTCGTGGGATGTGGGGTTTAGGTACAGTGAAACGATCTCGAAAATTGAGACGACTTTGGATACAGCAACCCCTATCTCTTTGAGCCTGAATGTGGCTTGGCTAAGCATCGTCCAAAAGATGACGTGCAAAGACCGTTCTCAATCGTCCCTCCCTCAATGGGAGGAAATGTCTAAAAATCGCCCGCTTGAGAAGATTATAGACGTCAGGTGCTGTAGAATCGAGAACTACCTCGCGAACGGCGACTATTTGATCCTCAGGAAGGGATTCCAGGGCGTAGGCAAGATTATGCCGCTGGTTGGTGATGCGGCGGATCTCAAACTGAGATTCTATTGCCGCAATCCAGACCCTTGTATCACGGGGGATAAACGCTACAGGTCGAAAACTGAGAACCTGTAGTTGGGAGTCAGCTAAAACATAATCAGTTTTAGATTTATCCACCATTTTCTAACGCCATTGTAGTTATAATATACGTAAGAAAATAACGATATATATATTACTCAACAGATAATATAGTAAGAAAATTGGGTAGAAAAATTACAGACTCACCGAATTTAAAGCGTATTTGGAGTTGTAGCTTACCAGTATAGTGAATCGAATAACATAGTTAAGTTATCAAGATCACTCTGAATCCTGGCTATGTTTTCGTCCAGATCTTCAGGCTTATAGATGAACTACTTTCAGACCATCGGCATATAAGTTTGCTCTTCCAAATCTTATAGTGTTACATATATCGTTTATGTACATAAGAAACAAGAGGGGACCTAATACACTTCCCTGGTCTTGGTGATGAAGGACAGTCGTTGTACTTAACCATTTGTTGTCGCCCATTTATGAATAACGCAAACGATGAATGTAGTGGGTAACCAACTCCGAATGACTTTAGTTTAAAGGGTGGCCTTTTGTGTGGGACCTTGTCACAAGCCTTCTTAAAGTCATAGAAAAGGACTGATGACAGAAGCCCTTTATCTTGTTTATGCGTGGTATCACTGAAATAATCTAGCAAGCATGTATCACACGACCTAGACCTCAAGAACCCATGCTGTGAGATCGATATCAGATTGTGACTAAGTAGATGTTGTATTAACCCTGCCTTAACTACTTTCTTCATCACCCTAGACACAACTGAAGCTATGTTCACGGGTCGGTAATTTTCAATATTCGCTGTAGGCCCAGATTTAATTGTGGGGTTGATGTGTGTAGTCTTCCAGGTATTAGGGTAGCACTCTGTGGAGAGTGATGTAGTAAATAGTTTACGAAGAATAGAACACAGATCATTGCTCCCATTTTTCAGCATGCTGGCTGGGATACCATCTGGACCTTGAATGTAAGAGTGCTTCAGTGTTACAAATCGCCTTAGAAATTTACTGTACACTAAACTCAACACTGGCGATTTCACTGGAAGGAATTAAGGTCAGGTGTGGTTCATTTGTTTGGTTTTGGTTTGTTGATGTAGAATAAAAATGTTCGCTAAGCAGTTATAGCCACGGATATGAAGCTTTTTCCCGTCCATGATTCTTCCACAGGAGTTTTAAATAAATGGAATTATGCGAGAAGAACTAAAATAGCCACGTGACTTCCTGGGCATGAAAATAAATTCCCCCTTAGTGGACAGCTTTAAGAAGAGACTTGATAATCACATACTCACATACGCATGACGCATATCTTGAGACCTGCTAGTTGTTGTTATTACCATCTCCTCAGATCACTCAATTAATCTATCTCGCCTATTATCTCTGTTTCTTTTCCCCTTATTATTCTCCCCATTGCAGCTAACTGATCTCCGGTCTGTTAATGTGATAGCTGCTGGTGTCCAGAAACCCTACTGCCCTGAAACAAACGTCTTCATTCAAATCACAGTACATAAAATCTCACAACCAACTCCCAGCTGACTAGAATTAGACAGTTGAGTGGCTAGACCCCCATTCATTTGACACTACTGAACATCTGGAGCCGTACCGAAAGAACAAGAATCAATCAACAAGAAATCAATTGGTTTATACTAGCTCGTGAGAAAGATATTAGATACATTAGAATCGTAACCGAGGCATTTGTTTGCATTACTTTTATGCTGGTTGGAGTTTCAGAGTTTAGTGGCGGTAGTTTCGTGGGACATCGCCATTATGAGCTTCCTTAGGACGTTATGTAATGTGTCTAAGTTTCTGAAGCCTACTTCGAATTTATCATCAGTTCGTGCATCCACGTTTATTAGCCAAAGTATTTTGTGTGTTTCTTATTCTAAATTTCGATTGTAGAGCGTGGATATGCCGTAGAGGCCAAACCAGCAGCCGATGCTACGAAAGCAACTGGTCGTGTTGTCGCAGTTATTGGTGCAGTTGTAGATGTACAGTTCGACGAAAAGTTGCCACCCATTTTAAATGCTTTGGAAGTCAAAGGTCGTACTCCTCGTCTTATACTGGAGATTGCCCAACATCTTGGTGAGAACACCGTGCGCACAATCGCTATGGATGGTACCGAAGGTCTCGTTCGCGGCCATCAATGCGTTGATACTGGTGGTCCCATCAGTATCCCTGTTGGTCCAGAGACTCTTGGTCGTATCATGAACGTTATTGGAGAGCCAATTGATGAAAGAGGACCCATTAAAACTAAAATGATGTCGGGTATTCATCAGGAAGCCCCAGATTTTATTGAAATGAGTACTGAACAAGAAATTTTAGAGACAGGCATCAAAGTTGTAGACTTGTTAGCTCCTTATGTGAAGGGAGGGAAGATAGGTTTGTTCATCAAGTAACTTTTCAATCATCATATAGGCCTTTTCGGTGGTGCTGGAGTTGGCAAAACTGTATTGATTATGGAACTTATTAACAATATTGCTAGGGCTCACGGAGGTTATTCTGTGTTTGCTGGTGTTGGTGAGCGTACTCGTGAAGGCAATGATCTGTATCACGAAATGATAACAACTGGTGTGATTGATCTAAAGGGAAACAATTCTAAGGTTGGTTCTCGTTTGAATATGAATACAATGTTTTCAGGTGTCTCTAGTCTATGGTCAAATGAATGAACCACCAGGAGCACGTGCTCGTGTTGCCCTAACAGGTCTGACAGTTGCAGAGTACTTCCGAGACCAGGAGGGACAAGATGTGTTGCTTTTCGTCGATAACATCTTCAGATTTACCCAAGCAGGATCTGAAGTCTCTGCACTGTTAGGTCGTATCCCTAGTGCCGTAGGGTATCAGCCTACGCTTGCCACGGACATGGGTAGCATGCAAGAACGTATCACTTCAACGAAAAAAGGATCTATCACATCTGTGCAGGCCATTTATGTCCCCGCTGATGATTTGACTGATCCTGCTCCTGCTACCACATTTGCTCACTTGGACGCAACCACTGTTCTAAGCCGTGCAATTGCTGAGTTAGGAATTTATCCTGCTGTCGACCCATTGGATTCTAACAGTCGTATTCTGGACCCTAACATTGTTGGAGAGGAACATTACTCCGTTGCTCGTGGTGTACAGAAGATCCTTCAGGTTTGTCATATTTGTATATCTATGTGTTGTTTAGGAAAATCGCTCTCTGCAAGATATCATCGCTATTTTAGGTATGGATGAACTATCAGAAGAAGATAGGTTAACAGTATCTCGTGCCAGAAAAATCCAAAGGTTTTTAAGTCAACCCTTCCAAGTTGCAGAAGTATTTATTGGTCGTGAAGGCAAATTAGTATCTCTGAAAGATTCTATCAAGGGCTTCAAGATGATTATCAACGGTACGATATATTTGATATTGTCTAATCTGTTTTTATAGGTGAATTAGATCATATACCTGAAGCTGCGTTCTTCATGGTTGGAGCAATTGAAGATGTATTGGAGAAAGCAGAACAACTGGCAAAAGAAAGCTCATAAATGCCGTTTATCAGACTCGATATTGAGTAGTTAGCTGTAAATTCAATAAGCCAATGTTCATTTTAGAAGAAAGATATGAAGTTAATTATAGGATTTTGCTACTTATTTTCAAGAGGTTTTTTTAATGCTTTGGTCGGTAATATAGGGTAGCTTGCACAATATTATCTCAATTACTTTGTTATACAACATTAAAATCAAAAGTTTTCTGATGTTTACAGAAATTATGAATGCCTCATGATTAAATTACTTAAAATAGCGTGATATTTCTAATATCTTTGAGTTGCGTGTTGTTTACGATTCCTCAAATGTTGGAGGAGGGTAGTCATCAACATTCACACGTCTGGTGCTTGAGGAAACTTGATTTTGGTAATAAAAGTGAAACATAGCTCTGGGAAACTTGAGTATGGTCTTATTAAGTCTGAGCCTAATCAGTTGATGGACTTAGTTAATCAAAATGGTCAGTTCCCTTAACACGTTTTCAGAGAAGCACTAAGTAGAGATAGGTAAATATTTTCGGGATCAGTTTATTTTCACACCTGATCCCCCTTACGTGGTATATTTGTATCTTGATACAAATAAGCGTATCGATCAAAATGTGCCGAGTGTGCACTGTACTGACAAACTCGTGTTAAATTTAGTCAGATCTGTTGTGAATTCCCCCGACGGTAGCTACTACCCTGATGTGGTGGTCGGGTTTGCCTATCGTGATGACCCAACCGAGCTGTGTCGGCTGGAACATATGTTCCTGAAGGTTCTACTATGCCAGGCAGGTCTATTGAAAAACGATGAGACTAAAAGCAGCTACACAAGGTCTGAGGGCGAGGTCGTACTGCTGACTGTAGAGGGGTGTGACAACAGTAGGGTGTTTGCATCGGACGACCAGCATCTGCAGTGATGTTGCCTTCTCACAAGGAAGGAAGGGTTAGAAAAGGTCGACCATAAAAATGTCAGACCTCACGGATTTCCGTCTGGCGGTAAGGGCTGCCCACTATGACCTTTTAAGAGCAGAGCTAACAATCGAAAAACCTTTCATAAAAAGGCCGTGCGTAACCTGCCTCAATCAGTTGTCCCTCGGGCTCTGTGGTCGCGTTCCCAGGTCTCTAAGACAGACACTAATCTACCTTTTTAAGTTCCTCAAGAAACAACCTTCCACGGTGTGGGCAGCCGGGAAGTGACAACTGCCCTCATATCCGTAACAGGACGAGAGAACAAATTGGTCGAAATCAAATCCTTCCTACACCCACACATACCTCTCTTCTCTCCACAATTAACTCTACTCACATTCCCTCATCTCACTGCACCGCTAATGCAAACGATGCGAGTTCACGAAACGTCATCCCCGGTCTCCTGAAACCCCGTTCCAGACTACATGTTGGGGCTTTTAATGTACGGACAACGTGTCAAATAGGGAAACAGGCTTCATTAGCTAGGACATTAGAATCTCGCGCAATCGATGTATGTTGCGTCTCGGAAACGCGCATACAGCATCCTAGTAAAATTAATCTGATTTCACCTTGTCAAAATAAAGAAGCCGCTCGATTTACTCTTCGTGTATCTGGAAGCCCTGCTGCTGCTTCCAGGGGTCTTTCTGTCGTAGGTATAGCATTGAGTCGTAGAGCTGAACAACCTCTCCTTGACTGGATCCCAGTAGATAGTCGTTTGTGCGCTGTCCGACTGATCAGGACAGTAAGGACTCGGAAGGATAGGGACACTCGTCGTTGCCTCTTCGTCATATCAGCCTACGCCCCCACTGACTGCAGTTCAGACGAGGTGAAAGATGAGTTTTACAGGAAGCTTTCGGACCTCCAAAAAGTTAGGCGCTCTGATGTAGTAATAATGGTTGGTGACTTTAATGCTCAAGTAGGAAGACTAGGTGGAAATGAAAGACACCTGGTTGGACGTTATGGTGTTGCGGCTCAGAGAACAAACAATGGCGACCGTCTGTTGCAAGTATGCTCAGACGACCGCCTATTCTTAGCAAACACTAACTTTAGGCATAAGGAAAAGCACCTTTTGACCTGGCGACCTCCATAGTCGTCTCAACGTTGGACGCAACTAGATCGTATTGCCTTCAGCCACCGAGGACTGTCGCTCGTTCTGGGACACATGTTTTGATTCAGACCATGCTTTAGTGCGAGCGCGTATTTGTTTGAGGCTTATTGGGCGTAGGAAAGACACTGTAAGAAAGCCTCTTAGGGTTTTACTTAATGATAATAAGGCGAAGAATATATTTCAGAAGCAACTAGAAAGAGAGTTAAGCAACCATGTAAGCGATTCCCATCCTGAAGCAGGTTGGAATGATATCAAATAGGCTGTCGAAACAGCAGTGATATCTGCTGGTAAAGTAAACCATAAGTCTAGAATGAGTCCGTGGATCTCCGTAGCATCCACTGGACTGATGGATTCTCGAAAACTCATCCCAGCTGGCTCTGAAGAGGACGAAGAACGAAGTTAGCCTAAGCGTAGACTGATAAAAAGCTTACGCAACGACCATGAACAGTGGTGGGTGGCAAAAGCAAAAGCGATGGAAAAGGAAGCGCGATCGTCAACAGTAGACAACTTTCCCCACTTATCTAGGAGACTGGTTTTAGGATTCCCACAGTAAGTGAGACTATCTCGGGAAATGATGGGACTATTATCCATTCTCATTCCAGGAGATAAGATCGATGGGCAGAACGCCTTAGGGATCAGTTCAACTGGCCTTCAGCCACACTTCGGTTACTCACGATCTCCAGTCATCCTGAAAAGCAAGTCGACGTAAGCCCTCCGAACCTTGATGAAGTTGGAAAGGCCATAGGAAAGCTGAAGAGAGAGAGAAAGCAGCAGGACCTGATAGATTGACTCTTGAGATTTTTTAAGGATGGTGGTCCAGTTTTAGGAGCTCGATTGACTGGAATCTTAGGTAGAATCAGGAAACTGCGCGTAATACTGTCCGAGTGGTCTCAATCCTTGATTGTCCCAATCTACAAGAAAGGACAAAAGTCTTCTGACAATCACCGAGGAATAAGCCAACTAATTTAGTTTCTAAATGTTTAACCCTAACTAGTGCTCGTGAAGAACAGATTAAATCAGGCTGGTTTCAGACCTGGACGTGGATGTATAGACCACATTTTCACACTACGACAGGTCCTAGAACACGGACACATAAAGGCGTCCTACAATAGTTGTGTTCTTGGTCCTTAAGGCGGCATTCGACTCTGTCGATCGCGAGGTTCTCTGGCAGTGTCTGTCATTGAAAGGTGTACCAAAGAGGTACTTTAACCTTAGAAAGGCTGTCTACTCAAACACTACAGGTCAGGCGAGAGCCTCTGGCTAACTGTTATCGGAACTCTTTACTTCAAGTGATGTCCACTCTCCCCATTGTTTAATTTTGTCATAGACATGTTCCTAGATGTAGCCTTATCCTTGTCTGACTTTCCAGTAGTCGACTTTCTACAGGAGCCACGCTTGCTGACTTAGAATGTGCCGATGACATAGTTCTATTCGGTGAAGAGGCTGACAAAATGCAGAGTCTTCTGACTACCATAAGCAACAGTCCAAGCATGTTCGGGATGCGGTTTTCCCCCTCGAAATGCGAAATGTTGCTTCAGGATTGGGTTGCATCGGCACCTGAACTAGTGGTAGGGAGTGAAGTAGTCGGACGTGTAGACCGCTTCACGTATCTGGGGGGTCTCATCAGTGCTGAAGGCCTGGTGACTGACGAAATCTCAGCATGGATACCGAAGGCTCGATTGGCTTTTGTCAACTTGCGTCACGAGTTATGTTTTGCTGTGAAGCAGTAGGTTGGAAGAAAGCTATGGGCGGCCAGACCAAAACATGGCAGAAATCTATGAAGTCAGTGACAAATGGACTGATTCATGTTGGTAGATGTAGGCTTCGTGGTTGGGGTCCGCGAGAGGGAAGTCACCAATGGTTAGAGACCTTGAACGATATGGCTCGAAATCGTTTGCAATGGCGCAGGTGCGTCCACTCTTTGTGTGCTTTTTAATTCTAACCTGAATTCCTCATAATCTCTATCTTCCTCTTTCTAAAGTTATCTCACTGAATTATACTCATTGAATCCTATCTTCGCCCCCTAATCTTCTCCATTACTGTTAATACTTCTGCTATCTCTATCACTCTTGGATTTGAAGTGACAGTTGCGTCTCTGTGATGATGTGGTATGGCAACCTGAAATGATGTACGAAGTTTTGTGTTGTATCTGTCTGTCTGTTGTGAATTCACCCCTGTCGTTTGTTGCTTTTCTGTTCTGTAGTGTTGAGAGATTTGTCTATCCCGTGTTAAGGGCTGTGTAGATACGGATAAATTTGGTTAAATAGTGATAGGTTGATATTTCAGTAGTAAAATGTCACACTGACTCAATTGTCCCTCTTCGTAAAATGAAAGAATAGTGTCAAAACTGGCAAGATTTAAGAAATCAGGGCTTATTGTTGTGAACAGTCAAATGTTAATAAAACTTGATTACTTACATTCTTCTGCTAGCCTTGCTTTCTTCATTACAGATATTCCACTACATTTCGAAATTCCATAAACCTGCCTAAAAAGTCTCTGATAGACTTTAGTATTTTGTAAAATCATTGGTTATCGTCTGTAGAGTGAAGCAGTAGTTGAATACAAATTTACATGTCTTAATAACCATATTATTTCACTGAGGACTTATGAATATTATCACAAAATTTTGTCCCTGGACTTGTGAATAGCTAATTAGGTCATCGGTATTTCCTGTGAATGTCCTAACACTAACTAATAAGTGGAGTAAGGTCAAAACTTGATCTAGTGTGTACGGAAGTCATTTGCTAAGGCCACTGAGTTTCAGTTCTACTGTATTCCTCCTAGTGATGAGGGGTTAAGGGGGTTGGTAGCCTTTATGTGTGATATGTGATCGGTCACTCAGAACTATATCAGTCATGTTATAGGATGATGTTTATTATGCTTTAAATGGTTGTTAAACAATTTGTTTGTTGATTGTTACAAATGTACAGAAAAGTGGTTTTTGTGTCTGGGATATGTAATTTGGCTGGTAAATAAATGTACGTATCAGTTTTACTTGTGTCCAGGTTTGTATCTACAAGCTCATACAAATATTGGTTCAGAAAGGCGTAAAACAGTCATTTTTTTTGAGCGCTGTTCGTGTTCAGGTCATGAGTGTTTTTCGTGATTAAGAGGTGTGGTTGCATTCTGTTTATTGATTGATTCAACAATGCAATTTCTACTAGGTGCAGACTTATGAACTCAACGTTAGACCGCATATTTCTGTGACATCAAGTACTAATACTCGAATACCTAGACAGAAGTTGGTGAAGTAGG